TCAGATCATGACAGACATCAACTAATTATCATTGTGGCATACTCTGATGTGGTAAGACATGACAAGTGACAAGTGCTTCAAGTGAGACGTGATAAGCAAGCAGTGCCAAACAATATATTATGGATGATGTTCCCTGATAGCCAAAGTTCAATTTAGCGAGTTGTGCCCACGAGTCTACCTCTACTCTTCACTGTTGTCTACGGATTATGCACCGGCGGCCTGCCTTTGGTATACCTGATAAATTCTTTACTTGAGCCCCCAGGAACCTTTATTGATGAACTATGAATGAACCGACGTCGGCAAGTGATTATACAATGGGCTGGAATTGGTGATCTGAATCAAACATACCTCAGCTGAAATTTGTTAGGCACAGACAGGAACTCCCAAGAACGGTGTCTGTATCATACAACTTTGCATACTCCAATGTCGATCAAATTTCACAACACATTAATTTCCCAAACCCTTTTTCTTCAACACTCTCAACATAGAACTTTACATACCCCAAATGTCCACCAATTCCACAACATCAATCACAAAACAAAGATAGATCAGAACCACAATGGGCTGAACCAAAAGAATCAGCAACTTCTGAACGAGGCATCCCTAAGCCCAGAAAGGCACATAGTCAGAAGATATAGCACAGCCATGTGCAACTAGTATGTAGCAATACTACCATTACAAGTTACAACGATATCTCCAACATTATGCTGCCCACCAAGCATCCAACAACATCGCCTACACCGTAACAACCATCATGGTTCGTCCTTTCTTCTGACTTGAACATGCAGAGAGCCCTGTATAGAAAAAGGTGCCTGTTGTAATTTAGAAACTTTAATAATTGGCTGGGCCAACATAAACGCACGAAGAACATGCTGCAGCCTTTCAACGCCAGAGAGGGGGAGAGACACGTAGAGTAGGAGACTGACTAGTGCATGTCCAGTCAAGGGTAAGCAAAGGCAGTAAATCAGGGACTGGCAAACAGCAGCAGGCGCTTGCGTCCGGGGACTTTGGACATGAAATTTTGAGTAATTAAGGTGCTGCTTGGTTGTAGGTCAGTTGATGTCATTTGTAGGTTTTGTAGTGTCCTAGTTGATGATCCTTTTTTGATCAGTCATTACCACTCTGTATTTGCAGACCGGTATGTGTTTGCTGCTCTTGCTCTACCTGCTTTATGTAACATCATTCAGCTGTATCTCCTTGAAGACTGCAGCCGGGCCGTTCCGCCCAAACAAGACATGTCCAACTTACAGACTCATCCTCGGAGTCCACACCGCTGAGCTGGGTGCATGCCCACCGCCAGTGGTTCCAAAATTTGACACCGTCCAGGATATGAGACGCTCAGTGGACGTACATTGTATCACCTCCCTAACTGCAAAACAACCTGAGTTCAAGCGTTTACGTGGTGTGGTACAAGTATACAGGCGCATGGAGCAATCCTTGTCACAAAGCAGTGCCGTGTTTTTGCCCAATCTGATTCTACTGGAAGAAGCATCCGCTGATGAGGTGTGATGAGCGGTTTGTTGTCGGTACCTGCATTTTGTGTTATTGCTTCAGCAGTCTTCCACGTGCATTTTGCTGTTCTGACTGTGCCATGCCGGTTGTTCTGCAGACACTCAAGGTTGCACGTAGCTGTGCAGTCAAGTTCTAGTGGTATATATATTTATGCATATATAATATTATATATATGTGTGTGTATGTGTATGGTGTTATATATTGCTGCTTGCTGTAGGTGAGTGTTAGTACGTGCATGCCGCATGCCTCTTCGCACATCGCTGACAGCAAGCATTGTCGCTATCCGGTTTTGGCGCGCAGCTTTCCCAAGGGTCCACGTCACTGTTTGCCTATTAGCCTTGCGGGAGTTTGTTGTGTGTCGCATTGCTGTGCTGGTGTGCTACTGACATGTTTGCCTCATATTCGGTGGTGTTTCTGCAAGTGCTGAGGCTGATGGATGTATTTATGAATGAATTGGTCGTCTCACTTGCTGTGTGTTACTGTGTGTTGCAGTTGGTAGCACTCGATATCCAGTAGCGCTGGGCATTCGCAGCCCGGTATGCAGAGTTCCTTCCTGCGAACTGTCGTCCATTCATTTCTGGCCACCTATCCGTGGTTGTTGTGTATACATGTGCATACTTTTGGAGGGCTTGTGAAGGAGTCTGGCCCCTGCGGTGCAGTCATGGAAATTGGTTCATGCTCGGTGCTTTGTGCTTTGTGAAGCTGAGGGCGCTGGACCTGAGAGAGGCCCGGCGTGTATATATATATATATCTCTCTCTCTCTGTGTGTGTGTGTGTTCAAAGAGTCCAGTTCTCCATCGAAGGCTGCGTGGAGCTCTTTGGAAGGAGATGGAGTTTGTTTCCCAAAAAGTGTCTAATAAGCCCAAGAAGTCTTGGTCCATAGCCATGCAACATGTTCGTACAACACGTGATGTTGGATTTCTATCATGGCAGATGCAAGTGCGAAGGCTGTCATGTAATCTGACAGATGATGGCCTTGTAAATCTTCAAGCTTGATGCATTCTTTTCGCTTGATGACTTGTGTGGTCCAACGGTGCCAAACACTTCTAACCGCTGAGTCACCGTCCAATGCCTGACTCGGGGATGGAGGTGTCCATCCTTTCGTCATCCTCCAGCCAAGTGCCCCAGGGATGAGATCGTCACATGCTGACAGTGGCTATACTTATACAACTCTGGTCTGTTCAGAGTCTGCTCACGATATTTTTTGCCCTGAAACCTGAGCTTCTTGTGTCCGTTTCAGTCAGTCATGTCGTGTCTCTTCGGCATCCAGGATGGGTTAGGTGATTTGCTCTCATGTTGCTGCTCTCTAACTGCTTCGCACTGTTTGTCTATTTTGCAGTTTCTTCCGTTTCCTCAACACTGACCTTTGAACAAAGCAGAGGCCAACCAGGTTCCACCACCTGCATGTTTGTGACTTTTAGGAGCACATTTGCCACGCTTGCAGTGTCTAGAGCCTGAAGCACTTCACAAATACTTACGGTTGGCAGTGTGTCTGAAATGCACGTGGCAAATCGCAAGCAACAGTATCATCGCTGCGGCACTGTGCGGCACGTTGCAACACTGCGAAGCTCAAGAACTACTGAGCGAACTACTGGTGTGTCCTTCAACTACTGATCACACACACACACACGGAGGCGCATGCAAAAATATCCGCGAACCAGGGAGCGGGATGGATGCAAATTCAATCTCAGGATACTGTAATAAAACCTCCGATGGCGTGCTTTGAGTTTGTGTGGGATGTCGCGGACAAAGCAAAGTTGTGTAGAGGGGAAGAGAAGCCTATAAATATCAACAAAATGGCCAAGATCACGGTCACATCAGTAGTCTCATCCCGTGCCTCCAGAGTGCTGTAAAGTAGCTGCCATGATCACAGATCGGATGGGAAACTGGCCGCAAAAAGCCTCTTCGAACCGTGTGACATTGCTGTACCACTCGCCTTTGTTCACACACTGTTCGATTGGTCTATATACATGCCATATACATGCCTCCGATACGTCAAACAGTCTCAAGCACCCATGCCACTTTCCGCTGATGTGTCGGACGCACAGCTGCATAATACGTGGCGGACGCTCACAAAATCACAAACACATGACGCACATGCAGCTGGCATATTGGATGTTCAGCTTGAGGGGCCTAAAACCTCTGCCAACTTTGTAAAATCTAACATTGATAGTTGTCAGCATTTTGAAGAACGCCTTGAATTTGCCTGCATCCCAGAAACTTGAATGGAAGACTTGGCTCATTTTGGTTCCAATGACAGGCCCCCTCTCGCAGTAACATGCAGTAGCGGCCTCTAGCAGTTGTATGTTCTCATCCTTTTGCTATGCTAGTAATGCTGGTTATTGCTTTATTACTAAGACCGGCTCGGTTCCTGTTTGATTTTGCGTCGCCATGCAGGTTGGTCTTATCCACGCATATCACCGCAGAAAGTTTTTCGTGAGCTGCAACCTTCGATGGTTCCCTTACCTGCGACTATATAGTGAAAACGAAACAACCAAACATGACAAGAATAGGCGTTTGCTGTCCAGAATGCTGATCGAGACGAAAGTGCCATACTTGCACATCTCCCACTTCTGCTGCAAAATTCAGGCCTCTTGAAATGACACTAGCCTGCCCCACGGGGTGCTGAGGGGTTTGCTGGCACAGATTATGAATTCCCTTTCCTTCTCAATTAGCCATGCATTATGCATGTTTTTTGGTTCTGTGAATCACGGGTCGATGCAAAAATCAAGTTGCGTATTTCTGATGTTACACTTGCCGTTTCGATAATTCTGCAGATTCCCGGTTCTGGTCCTGGCTTTAAGCAGGCCCGATTTTTGTGGGACAAGAGCCAGGTTACCATTTCCAATAGGGGGCTGTTGTTATTTACTTAAACTAACTCACCTGCACCTTTTTTTTCGACGGGCACCTGTCGCCCGTCGCAGCAAAACGGCAAAGCGGTTTGTTTCTCGCAATTTTGGAGCGGAGCTTGTGACCTTCTCTCTACACGGGTCGTAAGTTTCCTTGTGACACCAAGACAAACACCTGGCTTTCATGCAACAGCTTACCAATGCCAAGATATCTCCAGCGACAAGATCGCCACTGCCAACGAAGCCCACAAAGCCCTCGCACCAGGTGTCGATACCCTGTGCTGTGCCCACACTTCTGCCACACTGGTGTGCACAAGCAATGTGCATGATTGCATTTGATGAGGGGTGGGGAGGAGGGAGAGGCAGAGAGAGAGAGAGAGAGACAGCAAGGAGAAGGAATAAGAGAGATAGACCCCAACCATCGAACGGGCATAAATATGCTGCCTCTATAAGTAGCATTACTTCTTTACAACAAACATCTACCTATTATCTAATATGTATACTTTTCAAAGAGGTGCATAACTCACAGACGCGAGCTATTCTTTTTCCTCATTGATAAACTTATATACGATTTGGTCCATTCTTTACGGTTACGTATCCTGGTTCCTTGGGTGTCCAGAAAAGCCTCGCTCCTCGCAGGGCTCGAAGCTGCCCTTGCCCATGGAGCTCCAAGCACTGCTCCCCGCGGAGCAGTTGAGTGCTCCAAGGCCAAGCGGTTGACTGCTCGCGGGGCGGTTTGAAGCAAACACTGCGATGCCTTGGCGCCAGGGAACTGAAAGCAGCCAACGTCCTGACCGATGAGCAAACCCGCGCGGTGCAATATGTGGCCCGGACCGCGAAAGCCAAGAGCGAAGCGGCGCTCGATGGACTCCAGAGGCGTGGGTGGCGGCCGTCGCCCGGTTCTTTACTCTTCTGTAGAGTCATGACTTTAACGGAAGAGGAAAATGAGGAACACTTTGCAATCCTTAGTGCTAGAGTAGATTAGACGAGTATTGAAATTTACGTCCGGTTTCCATGGAGATTGAGGAGCTGGTGGCGGCCTCACTGCTAGCAATTACCAGTAGAATCTGGCGTATGCGGCCAATCCACAAGACGTGGATACAGTCAGTACCTAAACTTAATAAGAACAGAAATTGCTTCACACCGTACCTGCATTCCTGATTGGTTTGCAATCGAATTGATTTCCCTTTGAAACACGGCGGGCAGATGCATTTTGCATGATGTATCGCATGTCTCTCCCAGCTTGCGCACCACGACTATCAAAGAACGGGTCTCGGGGGTTCATACTGTCACATTGACCCGAGAAACCCGGTTTGGCCATGTTGGGCCTGCCCGCTGCAGGCGTTTGGCAAAGCGACTCAGATCTGTCTAGAATGGCGGGATGCGCATTCTGTATAGTAATAGAACAAGCCAAGAACGGGAAGCAATTAAGCGGCCCTTACCCATGCTTTTCTCGCTTGTTCCTCCTTTGTTCTTGCACCATCTTGCACCATTGTTTATTTTGGTATATTTTGGTGGCCTAACATGTCGAGCTTTGCTCGTCGCTGATGCTTGGTCACTCAGTAATGTATATATATTATATAGAGAGATAGTCCCGTATATACTGTATAGTTGTTGAGGAAACATGCTAGAACATTGGATACTGTACATCTTTCGGAGAGGCTGTGGTATGAAGGCCTTTCTTGGCCAGCCAGCTCCGTTGAAGTGCTGAGGTGGGGCTACGGCAGGGATACACTCGGCAAAGTTCTCACCTACATCCGGGATGAGGCCTTATCTAAAGGCTATTGTTTCACGAGTCAGCCTGAGTCAGCTGGCAGAATCTGACTTTCTCCAAGCCGATGCACCGATCGGTTCGTATGTGCCGGATCCATCGAATCGTCCAGGCACCGATTGTCATCCATACTGACTTGAGCAAGCGGCTGGGCGCCTTCAGCAAGGACTGCAAACAGCATGTTTCATTTGCCCAAAGCATGCTGACACAAAAGACTGGTGACCCACCATGCAATCCATCATATTTATATAGTGCTCTTCAAGAATGATCTTGGTGGGAGAGGGCCTCGTCCAACTCTCAGCGCCTTGGCGGGCTCGAAGTGAATCATCCTTGAGCATGTGCAGCAAGGTCCAGGCCCAGACACCATGTGACTCGGGGGAAGGACACCCACTACAGGAACCAGTTCGAAACTGGCACTACCAGTGGCTCCAGCGACATCGCCAAGAGGAAGGCCTGGATTGGCGAATCGCTAGTCTTATGACAGCTAGATATAGTGATATGATATGGCTAAGGTCTTTTTTCGGGTCTTTCTTGACTCTTGTGATGACAGCTTCCATTTCGGTCCAGTGCAGGGTGCTGTGGAAGGTGCTGCTGTCATGAAGCTGGGTGCTGCCCGGGATGCTGTCAAATTGCTTGAACATTGATTCCATGGCCGCCCAGGTGGTCAAAGGGGCTAGACTCTTTGGGTTCAATGCTGGTGCCATTTGATTTTGTCAATTTTGTCATGGCCATGGCCAACTGATGCCGCTGTTCGGAAGTGGTGAGAGACGCTCGACCAGAGCAGAGGCCTGGGAAAGCCGGCTGTTCCCAGAGATCTACGACCACGTGAAGGACACGCACCGGGTGAAATACGGTGTCCTCAATGCTGTGAATGACCCGCAGTGGCCTCACGCACTGCAATGCGACCTTTGGGCAAGCTGTTTGAGTATGTTTGAGTTGTTTTGTGTAGTGTTCTTTCTGGCCGCAAGCTAAGGCGTGGCATCATGTCCGTAGCGAAGCAGTATGGCCAGGACGTCCAAGCTGGCACGGTCCACACATGGCATAAATCAGGCAGAGCCAGTGGCGCCTTAAAGATCAGCTTCGCATGAAAACACGACCCGGACAAATCTGTGAAGCTTTCGCATGTATGCCACAGGAGGGTCTGTAGAGACGACAGCGAGTTGGTAGAGGCGACACATGCTCAAGACTACCAGTGACCTCAAGCTTTCCTGGAGGACTACCTCGTTTTGCGCGCCGTGCGGCTGCGCACCACATTCTCAGACCGTGATTCCTGCACACAGGGGCAGCAGGCCTCATGCGAGACTTGGTGGCGAGGCGAAATCCTTCGATGGCCTGGACTTCCATCCTCACCAGTCACCGGTTTACTTGGCGGTCATCAGCACATCATGTAGCAGCTTGCATATCCAGCACATTCTAGTCCATGCCTTGGGTCATCCCCGGTGGTGATAGGGTGCAGTAGACTTCCGAGTGGAAATTGAAACACCATTTCACAAAGCACGCTCCCGCTTGAACAGTTTGCTCCAGATTTTAAGGAATGGTACGCACATGTTCTCGAGATCCTCAGCTGCAGATCACCAGAGCGAGCGAGAGCAATGTACAATCTGTATTTTTGAGAATTTGGAGTTTGCCAAGCGTTTCGGACTCGGAAAGTTAGTTGCAATGACTGCTGCAGGCTGCGTCTAGACAGAGAGAAGGGTGTTAAACGTTAAAACTTAGAACATGTTTTGAAAGGTGCCCTCATACTGCATCAATGCACCGTGTTCAAGGAGGTTGGAAGGATGAGGGAGGTAGATCTAGTTGCTTTGGCTGTGGCACTTGAGGAAGTACACTGATGCCGAGCTGCAAGCAGTCACAGAGGCCTTGTTTCCGTGCTTCTCGTCCTTCATGGATTTTCATTGCGCTTTCTGCGTTCCCGAGAAAGCTGGCAGGTTGCTTTGGGAGATAGACTCTTTGTGGATTCTGGCGTGCTAGATACTGCTGCTGGCGGCTACAAGGACCCTTCCTCTTCATAAAGGGCACACCAAGGAATTGATTTGACAACCAGGTTTCAAAGTGCCTCAACCAGTAAAGTGTACTGTAGATGGTTGATTTCAGGGGTTTTCAATCTACAGGTTGGGGGGAAGTCAAACCAACCTGAGTGGCCTTTTTCCCCTTAAAAGCCGATCATCCAAGCTCAACTGGTTCAGGTTGGATGGGTCACCCCAAAACTTGAGAACCAAGCTTGACAAAGGTTTGCCAGGAAACGCGATTTATTAGATTGATATTGATTGACTTGGTCGGATGGTGCATCAACTATTTGTCAACCCATCTCTACAGTCGTTACACGAACCTAATCACCTGGCTCTGTCACATTGAGACATCAGATCGAAGGAAGTAAAGTGGCTTACCTATGCTTACCTCAGAAATCGCTGGAGATCAATAGCTAGGTCATTGACATCATTGGCAATCAAATCAGTGACCATGCCCGAGTTGCACGACGCCTCCTGCATAACAAACAAGCACTGCACGATGAATGAACAATGAGCACGATTCGGACCCAAGTCAAGATAGACGAGTCTGAAGATTCTAGATGACATGTATTTAGAATGCATGCGCAGGTGGTCACAGATACTTGTACATACTTGTACTATCTCATCAATTCAACTGACAGACCCACATCAGCTCCGCACTGCACCAAGCTGACTTGCTTTCGCTCAGGAGGTGCAAATTCATGGGGATGTTGAATTCAAGAAGCACCTGGAAGCAGCACCTTGGCCCAGAGATTGCTCGCGACTTTGGCTGCTAGAAATAGAGGCTAACGAATGGTGTTGTATGAGAACCGTCACTTGCTTGGTATCTATACTGGTTCATCCCTGCGTGACTCAACATGTTTATGTTTGGACAGATTTCGGGATCAATGCCGACTTGGACTTCGGCCAATGCTGCCAGTGTTATGGTTTTTGAGAGTCGCTGGGGGCATTACATCCTTGTGTTCACTGTGCCCACTGTGGCTTTATGCTGGTTGAATCAACCAACAGATTTCTTCACAGGACAATATATTTGGTGGACTTGCAGATCAGATATGCAAATCACGTGAAATCCTACGTTTTTACAGCTTTGTCGGTGTATGTCGATGGTTCATTTGGTCACAGAATTGATGCTGCTTTTTGCGCATCTGAGGTTGTGGTTCACCATTCCAGGCAGAAGAGCAAGCTTTTCACATCGAATCCTGACTTGAGTTGACTTCGTTTACATTTCTGGCCAACCTACAGTACTGTACACATGGAGCCTGGAGCTGTAGAATATTTCCGAATCAAGCAATTTAGAAAGAGCAGCTCCCAAAGTAGCTGGGTACCCATGCAACTTCGGAAGGAATCCTGCGTACTAACGATAAGAAGAAAACATGATGACGAGGCCGTTTTGGTCAAAGCTCAATGTCTTCTATGGTTTGTCTCATTCTTTATTGCCCCACATGCTCAAGAGTGTTGAAGCCACCGGGTCGGAAACCGAACACCTAGTAACCTAGTAGTGGCCGTAGTGGTGCTCATTTCGAACTTTGTTGAGTTCCTATTGATTTTGGACCTTTCTCCCCGGTGGCCGCTGATGGACAAATATGAGAAATGATGTTGTCATGATTGTTGGTGTGCTTGGGGAGGACTGGGGACGATTTCGCTCGCCTGTGTTGTGTCGGCATGTCGGGAACTCCTGAGCTCACGCCAGAGCTGCGACCCTCAGATGCGGATGTGAATAATTTTGGTGCTTTTTGTGCGCAAGGTGCGAGAATTCTTTTGCAACTTTTGCCAACGTGCTGTCAAAGAGACTCTGAACCTCAGCCCTGCGCCAAACAAAGAGCGAGTTTTGCAGGGCCGGGCCGTTCATATCGGAAAACGCGGGCTACCCAAAACAACACCCGGAAATGATGCTCCAAGACACAACAACATCTCTTGTTTGCCCCCTGTAAGCGCAGTGCATTTGCAAAAGCACAGGCAGGGTGTCTTTTATCAACCACCCTGAATCAAACACCTGGAAATTACATCACTCAGTCACTTCATCCTGTTGTCAAATGCATGTGGCTACGGCTACACCTTCCGTTTCTGGCCCGTCGGGAGGTTGAAGTATTCCAATTACACCCCAGCAATCCCACCCTCTTGTAGTATGTCTCTCACCTTGTTCAAGGGATCTTGGAAAAAGAAGTGTCCAAAGCAAGAGGCTGCCGGAAAAAACACCACCAAACAGCCTGGCAAATATCCACATTTGGATGTGAATTAAGCAGGCACTTGTGGCTGGTTGACATTCAGGCCCTATCACTGCCTGAGCTAAGGATCGCAGACTGGTGCAAGGACATTGACGTTCCACTATTGCTGCTTGTGCTGGAAGGGTGGAATCAGCTTGCATCATTGTTGTTTGGTCAACTGCCTCACAGACATGGCAGCAGAATCAGTAATTAGCTTTCCTGGAGATCTTTTTTGGCACTAAATGCTCAGAGAGTGTTGGATGCAATTTTGGGTTTGACCTGCAATGGTTTAACGCGGTTTTGGTTCACCTGATTCCAAACACTTTGCCGCCCTGGGCCCTGTTGTTCTCCAAAAAATGAGTTGCAGCATGTTGCAGCCCACCACACTGCTCCCACCACATCTTGCTCGCTGAGGTGCATGCCCGAGTTTTGCGACGGCACAGCTCTGAGTCCCCAGAGCGGACAACTTACAGCTGGGGGCCCGGGCGTTTCAGCAGAAGACCATGATGGCTTTAGGCCTTGATGTTGGCCAGAATGCATCCAATTGAGCAGTTGGGCCGGCTGGAGATAATTGCAGAATATTGTACACTTGTCATGGCACAAGTTGTCAGATGAATCCCTGTATGCTGAGCATCGAGCACGAGCCTGTGAGGCTGAGACACCTTTGTGGAAGTGGCGGCCTGCAGGGTCAACAGGACGTCCATGAAGTTAATTTAACATGAAAAGTGCCGCGCCCTTTACCTTGGGATAGAGACTGTAATCATCCCTTTCGTCGTTTGAACTTCAGTACTTTGAGGACCTTGGGTGCGCTTCGACGCAGTTGCGCAGTGGGCTGAGCAAATTGTTTTCTCAACTCTGCTATCCAATTGATGCTCTTTTCCGGTCCCTGTGCGATTTTTTTTTGGGAGACGGCACGTGGCTGGGAGCAGCGGTTCATAACACGTGTGCTTCGGAACTTCTGCTCGCATCACAAGCGGCTGAGGTCAGCAGTGCTGGAGGAAGGGCGGAGGAAAGAACGCACGGACGTCCCTCGCATGCCAGCAGGGCAACCCAGATGGCCGAAGGAGGCCTTGTGGCCTGCATGGCATCCCTTTGGAGTCTGGGTGATAGATCTTAGTTTTGAACTTTACTGCGCTTCACCCTGCCATGATGTGTCCCAAATGTGCGTCCAATCCTTTCTTGGATGACAATTTCAGTACGGATGAGCCATTTCTCATCATTTTTACGACTCATTTTGCCTCGCCTTTCGATCCGTTTGGGACTTTTTTGCCCTTGCCTCGTGCTGTCAGATTGACATTTTGTCATGAGTCAGGTTTGTGAGTGTGTGTGCGTGCGTGCCGTCTTTTGAATTTGATTCAGATGCCCCGTTTTGACTCCTCGTTTGGCTTTCCGCCAACATGTCTCATTTTTGTCTCTTTCTATTCTCATGTCATTTTGCCATGTGACTCATTTTGGTTTTAAGCCTTTTCATGGCTCCTTGTCCCCGGCGGCGGCATATTGAGGACTGCAGGCGAAGCGAATCCTCTTAGGAGAGTCAAACTTGCCAGCCATAGCAGTACTTGTATTTGCCTTTTACCATGTATTTTCTTCATTGAAATGAGAGTTGTTTCATCACGAGATTTGCTAGATGCATTTGATCAACTCTTCGATATGAAGCCCAAAGCTCCCACTTCCATGCCAGTTTATCCCATTTCCTGATTCAAGAGAGGTGCCTCGTTGAGGCAGTTAGAGAGCTGGCTGCCCGCACAGAGCAAGCGGAGGTGGGCGAGCTCCGCTCCCTGAACACCGCTGCGATGACCGGCTCCCTCGTCATCGGCCACAGCGAGGTGAGACTATGATTTTCTGGGCATGTGCGCGTCTTGAAAATGGCACCCCTAGACAAAGACCCTTAAAAGATCTGGGCTGTGCATGTTTTCATGCCCATGGTGGCACCATGTGGCACCTCATTACTTCTGGAATGGAATGGAGATCATGGAAGATCCACTCCACGGCAGTGGAGGAAGCTTTTCCGGTTCTTGCAACTCTTTGTTTCTGCCGGCTGCTCATGTCGACGATTTGGAACTGAAATGCAGCATTGGCTGTTGAGTTCACATAGTGCATACAAAAAGGGGCAAATGTTCGTTTGCTGGGCCAGTTTGCCCTTGGTAAGTGATTCTTAGTTGTTGCTGTGGTCGGCTGTAACAGCATTGGTCAATGATAACGTTGACGCAACAGGTTCCGCTGTCTTTGGAGAGAAGGACGGCAGGTGCCCCGGGACTGACAAGGGGAAACAGCGAGCGAATGCTGTGTGGAGCCCAAAATATTACATTACACCAGCATAGACCTGAGATAGCGGGTGTATAGGGAAAAAGCTCATAGTGCCTGAAGGAAAAATCACAATGTGTAATGATTAATAGCTTTCGTTGTCCTGCGACTTGGCGCCAGCACCTGCACCAGCACGCTCCCAGAAAACGCCAATCCAGCGCCTGCACCAGAATGCACCAAGAAAACGCCGATCCAGCACCAGCCCCAGCACCCAGCACCTGCACCAGCGCGGGCAACACGAAACGCTGATCCAGAGCCACACCATTGAGAAGTAAGAACCCCTATAGCTTGCAGCGACTGGGCCGCTCGTATCTGGCGAATAAGACAGTTAAAGGCATCGTAAGATATCGTTTTTGCATGTTCACTTTGACGATGCGCAATCATGATCGATAAAGAAAGATCAAGACTGCGCACAAGACATGGAAGAGAATCATCGAGTCGAGATCCCCCAGCAGATGTATGAGGATGTTGTCGAGGGCCAGAGCCTATTTTCCTATGGTGGATCAGCCAACTAAGTCAGGGCATGTCTTGAGGGTTTGAACTGACTCAGATAGGATTGGACTGAAAGCAACTACAGTATACGGTCAGACGAGAGAGTGTGCGTGCCTTCATGTCTCTTCCAGGTCCAGGTTGTGTCTTCTTTCTTTTGTGTTTTTGTTTGCTGTGCTGTGGTGCTTGTCAAACTTGTTCGGACCGCATGTCATGCGCACCACACACAGCTGCTAGGCAGAACACGTCCAACACCTGCAGTTTGTTACTCGAGCAGTTTTGACCCGACAGCTGCAGCTTTTTGCAATGCCGGTGGATGCAGGTGAATCTCGCGCAGTGGCACTCCCCGAGTCAGTTCGCCATTCCCTCATGTTGCAGGAGGAGATTGCCAAGATGTCCGACCGATCGGAAGGTGAGAAGTTGCAGGAGGAGCAGGCGTGCTCTGGAGGCTCGCTCGAGCGCTGGCAAGGACCCTACTGGTGGAAGTCCCTGAAGAATGGTGGTAAGACGCAGCCAGCACCTCGCCGTTGAGGACCCAAATGATTGAATTTGTACAGTGCCAGAAAGGCCCCTGGTTGAGCAGGAACCCTGCCCCTGGAGGATGTCCGTAGCATCCAAATACACTTCTGGATGCCTTCAGGCTCCCTGGCTGCCCTTTAGATGCAGCACAAGTGAGGTATGGCACAAGCTGCATATCGATTGGATATGTTTGCACCTGTTGCAGGAAGAGCGTTGCTGATCCATTCAAGCATCAACGCCGTATATGTTGGAATGCAGAGCGGGTCAATAGTTTCACTGCGTGAGTAGTGTAAACATCTCCTGCACAGTACGATTGCCGTCTTGCTGTTGTTTGAAGCCTAATGAGGGCATCGCCATCCAGTTTCAGGGCCGGTGGTCGGCTCAACCAACCTCCATAGATTGGCAATTTGTTGATGATGAGCAATTTGCTAATTGAAGGTTTTGCATTCCAACTCTTGAGGGTATTGCCAATCCTGCCACTAGGAGTCACATGGCTTCAGGATCTCTCGAACATTTGAAAGGTTTTGAACGCTTGCAGATTGCGCCTGTCGAAGGTATTTGTGCAAACATGTGATTAACCTGTCAATTGGTGATCTTGTTGTTGTCCACACTCAGTAGAACATAGTAGAACCCATACTGGCTGATACTAACTCTTGATTATTCTCCATACTTCATCGTACGTACTTCTATATGTGCCCCTTACTCGATGTGAACCACATTTCACCAAGTGCATTGAGAACAGAGAGGGGGACAGACATTGTTATGATATTATCGGTTCTTCCCTTTTCCGTATGCCCTTCCAACCACGAACTGCCCATTTGCCAAGCAAAGCCACTTGCCTGATAATGAGATTTTGTTTGTAGACTCTAGATGGGTTCCCCGATCAAGGTTCTCCAGCTGATGGGGGCCGACCTTAAACAGAAAGATGTTCGCTGGAGTTTGTTCCGGGACAAAGACCACAATGTCCTTAGGGTGGTTTCACACCTTTTCATGTTTCTTCCAGGATGATTTTACGGAATCCAACCTTGGCTTTCGACAGGGCTCGCACCCTTGAAGCTGGGGTAGTTGGCAGTTTGTGCGATGCAATGAACAAGGGCACAGTGATGGTGGGATGGGGAGTTGGTGCAAGAGATGCTCAACTCTCCTTCTGACATGTGGGCAAATCCAAGCATGAGCGTTAGCAGTAGGCTACTGGCAGTGTCTACAGGGCAACCAACATGTCGCATTTCACCAACAATCAAGGCTGCCTTCTTTTGAATTGGATTTGTCAGACAATATTGGGATCGGGCAATCCCTTAACTGTCCAAGTTGCCCGGAGGGGCATGAAGATGCCTCTGCCTGGGCGGCGATCAGGCACAGGCCCACCTCACCCTAGCAAAGACTTTTCAGCGCTCGCACCATTTGATGACAAAAGGGCGTCAGTCTATGAATGGTATAAGACAGCAGAACCAGGTTCCAGGAGCGGGGATGAAGAGCTACTTTGCTGGGCATGGTTCTATGGTTTCTATTTTATTGGTTGGGACTCCAGTTGGGACATGCCCTGGCAATCAATCAATTCATCAATTTGTGGCTTTGGCTGGCAGTTCTTTGGGACTCAAGCCTGCAGGAATCCAGGAAGTTTCCACGGCCCTTCTTTTTGGCGCGCACTATTGTTTGCTGTCCAGGTGACGGGACGAAAGAACAAGAAGCCGAAGCTAGAGCTGCTGGATGTCAAGACTTTACTTGGGAGCGGCTTGGGTTGCATTGATAGATTGCATGGAGACTTGGGATGAAGGTAGAGCCTTTGTATATTCCACGCATGAGCGGGGGAGTTACTTACTCTTGGAGGATACTGGCAGTCGGACATCCATGACATGGAAAGCTGCTCTTGCATCCACTGAGTGTGTCAGGACGCGTGGGTACTATTGTTCGAGTTTGCGGTATTGAATTGCGTCCTCTTCGCCTCATGTTTCGCGTTTGGGGAAGTTCGCCTGTTAAACTCCGAAGCAAGAAAAGGACCCCTTCCCTCACATCATCCCACCAATCACCGCGGGATCTGGGGCTTACTTGATGGGCTCATCAGAACCGCCATATGTGTCGTCCTACCGTCCTACCACCAGATTCGCTGGTCCTTTGTGCGCTAGCACCGCAGGCGGCTGGCGCTATATATTACTTCCACCTGCAGACATACACAGCACAATGTTTTTGCTTGACACTGGGGGCTGCTTCAGAAGGGGTCCTCTTTGAAACAACATCACTCAAAAATCACTCTAGGTTTGTTTGGATTAAGCCATAATTCACAAGAATCTAGGCGGAAAGTCTTTGATCTAGTCTTTCTGTATAATTTAGAGCGGCCTTGTTCTTGAGCGGTACCTTGGGTTAGCAAATGATAATGTGCACATCGCAATGATAAACCTCCCCTCCTAGTCAATAAACGGGTGGACGGAAGCTTTTTCCTCCGCAAGAATAAGCTAAGCTCTATCGCAATAAGCCACAATACATGTACCTCGGCTTTACAATTGGAAAGGTGAAAGGAGTTGAATGAGAAATGAACAGACTTTAGTTTCTTTTTCTCCAGGATTTGCTGGAAAGAGCAGGGCTTTATTGGCAGTGGTTTATGTGTGTGTGTGTGTCAACCCCTGGACCAAGGGTTCACCGCTACTGACTTTCT